AAAAAAAAAGAAACCCAACTAAAAAACAAACCCATAATCATTATCTTTACTGGCTGTTCAGATGGAGACTCCTGGAAGCACATTTCTTAATGAACATGAAACGTATCTTTGAGAGCACAGAGCCTACATTGATTTCTGCTCGCAAATCCTCAGCAAGCTCAAACCCCAACAAGTCCCTGGGGATTCACATCCTGGGCAAACTCCAGCTTCCAGGACAAAAAAAACCATTGAAATGTGTAAATTCCTTTTTCACATCATCCACGTTCTTGGTCCAGATTCTACCTGGACCCTCAAATATGTAATGCTATATTTAACCCATTAATAGGCACCATTATTTCACTCTGGTGATTTGTATGATTGTGCATACACATAGGCATTTATGGTTAGCAGCTGTGGAACAATTTTTAAAGTCGTGTAAGTTTTTTTTTCTGGGGTACAAGAAGAATCCTGTATGCAAAGAACAAAACTGAGAAGCTGCTGATCAGTTTAAGAACCAAACTTCAGAGCGTTAGAACATGTTAATATATTAACTTTCCTTTCTGTTTACATAAGATTTTGGTTTAGAACATATTTTGAAACACGATGGTGCACATTTGAATGTAACTTGCTCCGTAAATGCAATCAGTATCTTTGAATTTACTTTGGAAGAATTTTGTACCGCCTCCAGCCACACACCAGTGCCCGTCAAGGAGAGCCTTGTGCGAATCCCAGCAGCCAGAGCAGAGGTCCCCCTGTGAGATACACCCGGGCACGTAGGCATAATTCAGATAATCAGAAAGAAAGTACAAGGTTTTACACCAAAAAGACAGGACAGACCGCTGACCTTCAGGACGCGCTGTAAGAGCCATCTGCTTCTCTAGGCTTTTGAAAAGGGAGAGGGACCCCAATGGGGAGGTAGGCAGGGAGAGGGTACGGCGCATGCAGCTCTGACCGGGTGGGTGCATTTGCGGAGTACAGGACAAAGTTTCCCTTTTTTTATTGCCCCCATCATCTAAATTCTGCTTTGCAAAATGTGTCACATTCGTAGTTGTCATTAAGCTTCGAAGTTGAGCTCCAGGTGAAGACACTGGGAAAGCTTAGAGTTATTTTTCCAAGCTGCCTTCAAACTCAGAAAGCTACGTTTGACTTCCAAATGTTTAGGAAGCAACTGTAAAAAGTTATATTTAGGGTCATTCATGAAAAAATTTAAGACAATTTTTAAATTATTATTTTTAGTTTAAATCTTTAAATTCTCCCATAACTGACAGGGGTAACAGTCTCAACTCTAGCTCAGCCCCTAGCAGGGGAGACCACGTACTTCCGTCTGGTTTTCTGGACCACTTTCAACAGGAGTCCTAGACAGTGGAGAATATGGGACTGAATCTGTATAACTGAGGAACCATAAATCTTTAGCACCTTAGACTTTCCTGAGCGAAGGTGAGGAAAGAAGAAATTTGTCTCTAGCTGCCAGTGTAAATTTTTCATTAAAATGCTGTAAGGCTTTTTGAAGCCAAAAGTAAACTGCTTGTGCAGCACTTTTAGCAGAACTGCACAAGAGCATCGAAAACCCCCTCCACAGATTGTGGTCCTCCAGCAAATACAAACCACGCTGCAGCTTTCCTCATTGAAAATAGGATAAGAGCAAATACGCTGACAAGGAAAATACAAGTCTATACAGCTTCACATCCAATTTAAACAAAGTTCACATCCATTGCAAGCTGAGAAACATGTTCATATTCAAGAGGAACTCGTTTTCCTGTGCCTCAGCAGAACATCCTAAGAGATAAATAGGGGTTGGCCTCCTCCGGAGTAGAATGTTTGCTCCTGCTCTCCTTTGGGAATCATGCCAGCATAAGAAGCGATTCCTAAAATACGACCTAGAAGAAGGTTTTTAAGTTGGAGTGAGCCTGGATGCGGACTCATCCCACATTGCTTTGAAGTAAAACTGTCAGCACTAATAGATCTCTGTGCAGCCCCGGAGGGGGCATGTCAGAAGGTCTCTAGTCCTACCTGCTGCTCAGACCAGGGACAGCTGTGGGGTCAGAGCAGGTTGCTCAGGGCTTTATCCAGTTGGGCCTTCAAAACCTCCAAGGATGGAGCCTGCACAAGCTCTCTGGGCAACCTGCTCCATTGCTGGCCTGCCCCGATGGTGAAGTGTTGCAGTAGGGTGGTGTTGGTTGGTAGAGGGTTATCAAATGCCTACAGAAATAAAAGTTAGGAGCTGAATAGGGATATGACAGTCAGATCGACCCATCGCCTGGTGTAGGAGGAAGGCAATAAGCAATTACTGATGTGTGCTACTGCTCTTTGATCGATTCCAGGTGTACAATGTTCACTATACTATGAGCATTAATGGAAAAGTACAGGATGGATCGATGGAAATAGATGCTGGAAACAACTTAGAGACATTCAAAACAGGAAGCGGGAGCGAAGAGGCTGTTGAAGTTCATGATTTTCAGATTGTAAGTACCTCCACCCTTGTCTTTCATGTAACATGCTCCAGTGCTGGACTCCAAGCATAGCCTGCCCTGCCACGACTTCTCTGCCCCAGTGGGTCTCAGGTTCCAGCCCCCAACTATCCACACAAGCATCCACGCTCTCCCAGCTTGCTTTCACAGCGAGCCAGGCAGTTTCCTCCAAAACAAAGTCTAAGTGCCTTTTGGGGACAGGTCATGCCAGATCCCACTCCGGGAAGCAGTATGGATTAGGCTGCATCAGGTTTGGCTCCACGTAACACTTTGCATTTTCAAACCATTGAACAGAGCTACAACATGTGCCCTTGGGGTCTTGCTAGAAAAACATTCTGGCAGGCTGTGACACAGCCCCTGCATGATTTCATATTTGAACTGGAAAAACCACCTCCCCCTCCCCAAAACATCACTGTTTTAGGAGCATAGGGTCAACACTGTAAGCCAAATAGACACCAAGGAGAGACCACTATACAGGGCTGGACCCAGGCAGCTTGCTCTGCCCTGAGATCAAAGATGGGAGCTGCTCTCCATGGCTTGGCCTGGGTTCATCCCCAGGGGAGGGGATGGAGGCATTTAGCATAGCTTATGCATCTGTGCACCAAATGCACGGTACTGGGCCACTTGGGCTGGCAGCAAACACATTTGGGTACCCCAGCAACTTGGCTGTGCCTGCTCAGCACAGAGCCTGGACTAACAGATGCCGAATCTCAGCAGAGCTCAACAACTCGGATACAGCGGTTCACTTAGCTGTACCGCCTCTGAGCTACTAAAGGCACATCTATGTGGTGTTGCAGAAACCCGTTTACAGGGCCCAGATCCTGCAATTAATGTTCTGAGATGCGAAACACTCCACTTAACTTCAGAGCTAAGTCAAAGCAGCACCTAAAATAAAGGTGCTGCTGCCAGGAAGACTTGCCCAGGGCTTCTGGAGCAGCCACCTTCCCCTTGCTGAATCTAGAAAGGCAAGGAAATTCAGCTCCTTGGCTTTTCAGCAAGTACAAACACGCCAGGAGACCCAGGACTCCGACTTTCCCAACAGCTACGGTTCAGCCTTTATGAAACTCTTGTTAAGATCTCCATAGCAACATTATTAGCAGCTGAATAAGAGCACCCACAACAAGCTCTTCTCATTTGCCTTTACCATTCCACATCTGCACAAAAGCACCAGCCCACTGGAGAGATGCTGAATTCACACTGCCTCCATGCGTGCTGCTGGTAAGCTACTGCCTGTCACAACCAGGCCAGAAATCAGCTCCCAACACCAACCAGCTAGAGGGACCTCCCAGGGACGGCGCCCACTTGCAATTACAAAGGGCTGGGGACAGGCTCAGCGAAAGCAAAGGGATGCTGCCAGTGGGGTTTTGAGCCAAGAACGCACATAAAGGAGAAAGAAATTGAAGAGATGCGCTTCCAACGGCCAAGTATTTACATTAGCAGCTTTGGATTGACTGGCACCGCTCGAACGATTGCACGGTCGGTGAAGACTTGGATTTGGCAATATTAGGATGCTCCTAGCATGCTCGGTGCACCACGAAGTCTCATTCCCTTTTGCACTCATCCCTGCATAGCCATCCCCTCTCTCACTGCTTTAGAATTAGTCATTTTGTTTTGATGGGTGTCCGTCCAACTGTACAGGACTTGCAGGCACACAGGACGAGACTCACGTGCCTCAATATCACCCATCTCAAGCTGCACTAGATGCCTAAGGCATCTACGATCCCCGTATGAGGCAGGTGAGGGGGGTCATGATGACATTCATGCCCCCCTGTCCTGACAGCTAGAAGCTAGGCAAAAAAACAGCACACCTCAAATGGTACTAGGTAATTATATTTAGGCAGTTGAATGGAGTTTGTGCAACCCTATGAAAAATACAGATGTTTTGCCATCTACAATGAGGTATCTAAATTCATAATGGAAAAGAGAGCTCTTTTATGGGTACCCAAAAACCTACAGCAGAAACACAGAAACTACAGACAAGGTTCTCCTGCCCAAACATTGGTGCCCAAGGTGCTGGCACATAGCTGGCAGATACGACCCTGGACTTGCAGGAGACCTCTGGAGCTGCTGGCGTACCCTTCTCTTGCTTAAAACTAGACATCTATGTTTAGACAACTGCATTTCACCCTCATAGGCCAGATGAAAGAAGTCCCACACACAGATTTCTGCACCAAATTCCCCATTCACAAGCTTCCCCTTGCTGTCGCAGCCACTTACGTGTATAAATTGGACCAAGCTGCCCCCTATTTTTGTAAGTCTGTCATAAGGGTACCGCACCGCCAGCTAACGCAATTTCAAGGCTGCCTACGTTAGGTGCTAAGTTACGGTTCAAATCGTGTCAACTAATTCCTTAACAGAGCTACTTCAAGTAGCCTACAGCAGGCATGGAAGCACTTATATAAAACACCCCCATCTTTCAGAAATTGAGCAAAAACTTCTAGACCCATTTGACCAAAACTGTAACGCTAAAATGATGAGGAAAGAGTGTTTTATTGCATCTGTTTTTAAATAAGATTCAACCTTCAGACTAAAAATTCAGTGGCAATTTCAGCAGAGCTTGAGCGCTTTCTTGGGGGCGGTGGGGAGCTGGAGGGCTGCGCTCAACCCCCTGCCTTCTGCTTTCGCAGGGCATAACTGGAATCCGTTTTGCTGAAGGAGAAAAGTGTTACATCAAAGCTCAGCCAAAAGCTCACGTCCCCGAAGTTGATGCTATGACTAAAGCAAGCCTCTCATCTGAGCTGGTAAGGGGTAATTTTTTTTAAAACAAATCTTTGTATGGAGAGGGACTTAAGGGGGTATTTAAATACAAATAAAAATGACATACAAAAACCACTGAAGAATTCATAGAATCATAGAATGGTTTGGGTTGGAAGGGACCTTTAAAGTCATCTAGTCCAACCCCCCTGCAACGAGCAGTCATCTGTGGAGAGCTGAGGGTTCATTGACCGATGGCGAGGGGTCCCTGAAAGGTAAGGAAAGCAAGATTGGTGCCAGAGATGTACTTATTACGCTGCGTCCAGGGGCATGGCGGGACTCTGCAGACTGGGGGAAGCCGCAGACCAGCGTCTAGCAGATCTGTAGGAGGCCTCGGTGACAAGCATATCCGCCTGAGATCAGGCTGTGCACAAGGCTGGAAGGGAGAGTATGGAAGAAGCAGCTGCTTTAGTCAATGCAAAGAGGGATCGTGGTAGATCCAAGGACATTTCTATGAATGCTCTTGAGCAGAAGCAGGGACTCCATCACTCAAGTCCTCCGAAATAGTCGATAAAGGGGAATTTTGGAAAACATTATTGCAAAAATTCAGCTAACTCAGAAGAAATAATAGTTAAAAAAATTAAGAATTTGCCTTCTTAGACGGCATCAGACTTCATTTTAGGACATTGTGTTAACTAAATTTCACGGAATCTGCAGCGCAACCACCACAAAAGCTGCAGTTCTCACCCAGATACCGCCAAAACCTCTCCTTACCTCACATTTGTAAAAAAGCCTATCGCTTTAGGAGCGCAAAGCCTGAGTTTCCCAGAGCTCAGACACCCAAACCCATCGCTCACACAGGAGTGGCTCCGGTGACTTAAGTACAGCTGAGCCTGGATGCTGGCAGGGGTTCAGCCACCGGCAGGAGAGCACAGGAGATCCACAACCCCTTCCCCTGGGTTTGCTCCGCTCCCGAGAAAATAAAAGCAGATACAATCAGCTGGGAGAGAGGCACCATTAAGGCTGCACCTACCTGCAGTGCTGCTGTGATTACTGACCATCTACTTTAAAATGAAGGGAAAAAAGGTCTCTCTAAATCCAATCAGCAAGGCACCAGCGATGTTACAAAGGCCCCTGAAGTTGGTGGGATTTTCCCCATGATGGGGAAGAGATCTTGCCAAAATTCCAGGCAGAGACCTAGATCTTTTCCACCTTGCCTTATTTTAAAGGCAGGCTGGGCTTCTTGACTTCATTAGCACTATGGCCTAAAGTCAAGGTTTCAATTTTTCATCTTTTTGTAAGAATAAAGTCACAGTCCTGAAGACATTACCCTAAAATAGTCAAAAAGTTATTTCTAGTCTTCTACCTGGCTACAGTAAACCTCTTTCCTTGTCCTGTTTTCTGTGCACCTTCTCCAAAGATGTATCACCTACACAACCGCTGCAATAAATTGCATGCACCGAGGCCAAAACAAGCAGCCGATTTAGTGCTACCGTTGGGATGTTAACCTTTTCCTGCTGCTCAACTTTCCAGGTTAGATGTACGGGAAATGGCAACGTAGTAGTTATTTTTCTGGAGCAAGTCCTCTCTCTGATACGCATGTATTTAGGAGAAAGTATGCGTATGCCATTTTCTTACAACACGTATCATGACCAACACTGCCTATAAAAATGGTTGATTAAAATAAGCTTTTATAGATACCCAAACTCTGCCTGCTCACAAGTCAGGATCATCTCAAACAGAAACAAAGGATATTTTTATTTTGGAAAACTAGGTTCAGATATTTCTGATGCTGACAAACGCTTAAGTGGGAGAATATAAATAAAGAGCACTTCTCACTAGACAGATTGGATAGCGAACTTAAATGACTTGAGACCTACAAAAGAAATCAATAAACACATTAAAGGAACAGCAACTCAATGGAATAAATCGATCTAGTCAGTTATATAACAAGTTTTGATGACTTTTATGGAAGCAATTTAGAATTTTAACTTTGAAATCATACTGGTTTTCATGATTCACAAGTTGGTTTTCTTTTAATATTTCACTGTTGCTATAATACACTTACATATTTTATGTAAAATAATACTTTGAACTAACAACTTTAAAGAATCAATCACTGGCATTTTTCTACATTACTTTGAAGATATGAACCAAAAACCTGCAGGGTATACTTCAAAAAGGCAGGCTCCTTTAACTCGCACTTCAAGCTTTTGGTCAATTGAATTGCTTTTACCAAACGAGACCTTTAATCAGACCGATCACGTTGACTTAAAACTGGAAGCTGGAGCAGTTCTCAAGCTATAATCCTCTCTAAAACTTTTGAACAAGATTCCACCCCCACCCCCAATTGTAAATACAGTTATCTCTTGGGAGTATATCAAATGAGAACGGGGCATGATAGAAGATCAGGGTCTTGTTTTTAGCTGGCGTATTTCATTGCTGCTCTGCTGAAGGTGGTACGTCTTCACAGTTTCTACCACCTGAAAAATCTGGTGCTTCGGGCTGAAAGATCTCCAACACCTAGTCCTTGTACATGGGGCAAAAGCCTTCCAAGAGAGAGACGGGTGAAATCTTAGCCCCAGGAAAGCTGACAGGAGTTTTGCCATTCATTTCAGTGGCGGCAACCTTTACTCAGGCTTTGGCTTCGTACAATCAGTTCACATTCATGAAATACAAGGATGCTTGGTATTAGCTGCAGCAGACGATTATACAGTTTGATGCCCAAGAATTAACAGCAAGCAGGCACATGAGTGTTCACTGAGCTAGCAAAGGATTTATGCTCTTCTATTTGCAGGAAGATGAAATCATGCCTGTGAGATTTGACGAAAACTCCCTTATCTGGGTGGCTGCAGACGAGCCTATCAAGCATAACAGTTTCCTAAGCCCCAAAATTTTAGAGCTTTGCAGGGATCTTCCAATTTTCTGGCTTCGACCAACGTATCCCAAAGGTAACACTTCTTATATTTGAAACATACGTTATCCCTCCCTTCATCTGAACACCTTCCCCCAAATCAGGTTTGCCACCGAGACTTGCACATCAGGGAAACCAGGATCCTTTCCTCCCTCGCCCAGCCTATCTTCCCAAGCCCTCGTGGGCTGGTGCTGAGATTGCGGGTTTGGAGTTCATCCACACTTACCTAGACATTTGGTCTTCCATACCTGCATTTCCTCAGGCAATTTATAGAGCCAGCGTGAGTGAGTTACACAACAAGATGAAGCATTGCCAGAGAGGTCAGCCTCTTTCTATAGAAGAACAAGACAACACCTTAAACTAGCCTCCAAAATTTTTAGGCAGCTGACACCAGGTAGCAGGAATACCATACCTGGCCAATAGTTGGGGAATATCAAGCTCCTGATCTGGGACCATAACCTGTCCTGTTTCCCACCTTGCTTCTCCAGAGGATTTCACTAGAGTGGAGGGACAAGATACTTTACCTAGGCAACTGGTAGATGAAGTTTATGAGGTCCTGGAGGCAGTCCTAGAACTGAAGTACTCCTGTCACCCAGAGCCAAGCTTAGCAAGGGTGTTTGGGAGTCACCAGTTACTTCTCCAAGTAACTTCCAGGCCTGGGAGGAGAGGAGAAGGCTTGAAAAGATTTACTCTTCCTTGGTCCAGCTAATATTAGAACACTAAAAGAGGGGAAAAAAAATTTGCATTTTAGAGCACCTGTGGATCCAAACTGCCAATATTTTCCACTTTTCTCATGAGCTTTCATATCCCACTGGGCAACAAAAAAGCAGTATCAAAGCAGTCCAGAAGCTGTTTCCACCAGGTTCACCAGCTGCCCTTAGGAGCAGGGCACCAGTCTGTCACAAAAGCACTTAAAAAAAAATTAGATGTATATGACTGGTCTTGCTAGCGCTGGCAACTGCTGCTGGGTTAACATCAGTGACGACACAGTGGGTCAAAAAGCACCTCCTCACACCCGCTTTGCTTCCAGCGGAGGAAGGGGGCGGGGGGGAAGGCAATCTCACACCCCTTTGCACTGACACTGGCTGCAGATACAACACAGGAAGGCAAGCAGCTCCCATGGGGATGCTCATCAATTTTGCCCCCACACAGTTTCATCCTTCCCTCTGCCCGCCCCCCTTTTTAATATTTAAAGAAATCACTGAAACCTTAGATAACATGTGGATAAATACAAGGACACACTGAAGATAAGGTTATCCCCCCGTGATTATTTCTTCAGATAACCAAAGGAGAGAAATGAAGAGAAACAAACGCCAATCAGAATCAAACTTTGATACAGAAGACTTGGAAGCTGCTACTGAAGAAGTAAATACCAGGTCGCCCACCACACAGCTGACTCAAGAGCTTGATCGCCAATCTAATGAAACCAGGCCAATGGGACAAGAAACTGATCAAACACTGAATCCAGACAATCCATATAATGTAAGTATTTGCACTGTAATCTTCTTTCGGAGCCCGAGACTGTTGTGGACAGGTAATACTGGTGATGTGGGGTTTGGGTTTTTTTTTTTTAAATTTGCGCAGTCTTTGCCTGTTGAGCTTTTCTCCAAAATTACAGACTTATAAAACACCTAAGAAGTTCAAAAAAGTCTTCCCTCATCCTCTTCTCCCTCCCTCACCCCAGTTTTCATTAGACTTCAGTCTGAAACAAGCACAAGCGCTTGAGGTGGCAAGATCAAGGCAAGTTGATGCCGAGCTGCTTTTCAGGATTCAGGTCCATACAGAAGCAGCACTGGAGAGATCCAAGAAGCGTAATGCCATCTGAAAACAAACCAAAGCTGCTCTTCATCAGACAGCTGATCCCCATCATTTACTGACAATGTAAAGAGAGAGTCCAGTAGCTAGAAACATACTTTGCCCTCAAATAGAAGTTAGTATCAGAAGTGACTACAACAGAGGAAAGCAGTAGTAGTGTCTGGTTGCAAAGAGATTAGGGTTAGGCCAAATACATCTGTTTTCTCAGCCTCTTCTCTATCAGAGTAAATGGCCTTAGTCTAGCAAGCAATTCAGAGGAGAACCTGTTTAGAGACAGCAGCAGTGGGTGGAGGATGACTATCGCAAAACTTGTTCTCGTTCTTTGAGACGAAGCAGCCCACAGAAAGAGCACAGAAGCCGCCCCGCTGTGTCCCAACACCTTTGCCGTGCTGCAGGAAAACCGACCGTACAGTAGGCACCTTCCAGTCTACTGCACCAGCGCCAGACAATTTACACCCACCATTTGGTGCAGCAGGAGTAAGTCATTTTAATACAACGCTGTCACAAGATAAATGCCTCCTGCTTTGGAAATGAGTCCCAGCTTTGACTTGACATTTATGCAACAGCAGGAGATCATTATACTGTGACAGCATTCTTCCGAGTTGACATCCCTTAATTAAACTTAAATTAATCACTCCAAATAAAGTGGATCTAAATCAACTCTCTCACAAGGTCAGTAAAACAGCAGCGGCACTTAGAGTGTAACTTCTCCTCACAGCTACTATCGTGACCACGTCCATGGGGTCTGAGCTGCCCTGTCTCTGGAGGGCAACAGCAGGACAACTGCGACGGGTCCGTTCTTCCAGCCAGAGGGCCCCTGGGCCAAACGGAGAAGGTCCAAGTCAGATACAGTCACCAGACTTCCCTCAGCCTGCAGGGCGGGATTCACCTTCACTAACAGTTATTGCGTAGATGCCTATATCCAAGCTTTCTTTAGAAACCGATTCATTCAATTCAAAAGGACCATTAATTATACCATAGGTCTTTACTGTAGGATGAAATGAATCCTCCCTAGAGCTATTTCTCTTCACCCACCATGAGTGGAGCCTGGACGATGAGTTCAGGTGTAGAAGTTGACACTGCAGGTATCTGAATTCAAGGATGATGAATCCTGCCCAAGGGAATTACACCCTCCCTGCTCTCAGGGCTGGGAATGGGTCACTGGGGGCCTGAACGACACCGAGCTGTCACTAGCATCCTGTACAAGCCCAGACAAGAGATGGCACCTTTCTGTGCCTCATGTTTTTGGTGTGCTGCTAGTTTTTTGAATGAAAAATGCTCAGGTAAAAAGCTGTGTTACTCCGGCATTTGCTCTTTGCTGCTGCTTTTCTTGAAATAACATCAATGGGAAAAGAAAAAATGAGTTTCAAAAAGCAGAATATTCAAGTTACTTTTTTCCCAGAAAGGAGGAAAGGAATTTTGAAGGGTGAAGGCAGTAGCAAGAGCCTGCTTTTACATATTTTATGCGTGCCTCGCTCCATGTAACTCCTTACTGTCAGATACAGAACAGGCAGAATTCTCACTGTCCACAATGCACCTAAGTGTGGCAGAGGGGAAAAAAGCAGACTGAAAGACAAGGGAGAAATATTCAGAAAACTTCAGGCTTACTGAATAGTTTCCTGGGAATGCTGTAAAAAGCATTAAAATACAAAAATTAAAGCAAAACATTAAAAACGCAGCATACACTTCAGACACGGTCATCTACATAAAAGACCCAGATAACTGTCTTGAAAATCTTTTCCATCACTAATATTTAAAACTTGGGAGTTTACTGCTGCTGGATCTTTTGCAAGGACTGTAGAAGAAAAATGAAGTTAGAGCTCCCTGTTGTTTCTTTCCATTTTACACGGGTGATTGCACCAATTCTACACTTCTACCAAACAGAGCAAGACAAAAGGGGAAAAAAAAAAAAGCAAGATGCACGGGTCAGTCGGCGGGAGTTTTGTTAACTTCAACAGGACCAAGATTTCACTGTTTGCCCTTTGTAGGGTTAACATGAGCATCAGTATATTCTACATTCTCTGAGAATGAGGGCACCGGGATGACATTTACTATTTTACTTTTCAGCAACTGGAAGGTGAAGGGATGGCTTTTGACCCCATGCTGGATCACCTAGGTGTGTGCTGCATTGAATGCAGACGAAGTTACACACAGTGCCAGAGAATTTGCGAGCCTCTCATGGGCTACTACCCGTGGCCGTACAACTACCAAGGCTGTCGTACCGCCTGCCGAATCATCATGCCCTGCAGCTGGTGGGTCGCCCGTATCATGGGTGTTGTGTGAGAAAAAGCAATCAGAGCCTTGACAAAATAAGCAGGAACGCAATGACGACAAACTGGTAAAAGACTACAACCAAAGCAGCAGTACCAATCCTGGCTTTTAAATCAAAGTGTGGGTTACTGCACCAAAAGCAAGGTCAGATATTCTAACTGTAAATAAAAATCTTAAGTTAATATTCCATTAGCTTTACAAATGACAAGGGTATACTAGTACTTACTGAATTCAAAAACTAAGACATCCCCAAAAAAGACAATATTAAACTTTGCTCACAAACTGGTTTAGCAGTCCAGAAGCTTGCTCATAAATCCAAATTCAGCCTTTCATAGCAAAACCCTCTCTCTGCGCTAGATGTGAAAATTTACGTCCAATTAGGCAACTAGCTCAACTTGTACACTTGGGAGTACCTTTCATCCATGTAGCTTACTTAAATAAATCACAAGTTGCTCCCCGTTGCTATTCATACCGAATTGCCGGGTCATTACGAATGGTTATAAACCAATTACAGCATACCTTTCCCACAAAGCTGCTCCGGGGGACACGGGAAAGCGCACATTGTGCTAAATCGGAAACAAACGGCAGGAAAAGGGGCTGCGGAAGGGAATGTGCGTGGCTGCAGAATCAAAACGCTTCGCACATCCCAACATCAAAGAAGCCCCAGCATCAAGAATCTTGTATCCATGATACCACTGTAGTGTCTAACAAGTATCTGCTATCCAGCTTCTACAGCAAAAGTATTTACATGCAGTTGCAGACCAAAGAGTGTCAAGACCCTTCAGAATCTACAAGAGCCACTGTATTTATAAATCCTTGAACTAGACACTTTTGACACAAGATTACAACTCCTCTTTATTCCACATGGATAGCAGCCATTCATACTAGCTCCTTTAGCTTCGCTGAAGCTAACCTCCATTCCCTGCAAGAGAAACTGCTTACCAGTAAGGAGGAAAAACAAAAGAAAGAAAAAAAAAAGGGTTTCTAACCCTTTTTGCTTAGGCAAACTCTGCAATTATTGGGATTGATCCTATTACATATTAAGTCTCTAAGGAAGGTACTAAGCTGAAACACTCACAAAGATGGAATGACTTAGGATTTCTAGACTTGAAAAACAAAGACAGAGGTATTACACTGCCTTCATCCATACTATATGCCTTGAACCCTACCAATGAGTTTATAGAGCCATCTACATTGGCTTTATAAACAGAATGGTCCAATTTTTCTTAAAAGTTCACTTTCTGGACCATTCATTTTTGTGACTGAACAGCTCTTGAGATGTTGCAAGCCTAGTAATGTTATTAACACTGCGTGACACACAGAAAAGAGGAATTAATTTGACATAATCGTGGCTTAAAGAAAATAAAGACAACCTCATGTGGAATGCTAAACTGCATATCTAAAAAGCAAAGTGTTAAATGAGAATAAGATGAGAATAGAATTCAGTATTTTGTTCTATTGTAGCTTTTTTTTAATATAAGCTTCACCTTCCCTTAATCTGAAGAACAGACTCGCTTTGAAATATTTAAATTTAAAACTTCTTAAAGTGGGATTTCAAGGCCTGTTCAATTTGAGTTTCTGCTTTTTAAAATGAAAATGACCTTGATCATTATGTTGTTTTAGAAGTACGTCATTCATATGCTTAGAAAAGTCGGTTTTCTTTTTTTTTTTACTGCAGATAAACAAATACGTTAAAAAACGGCAATCGTTTTCTGTGCTTTTTTCAATGTAGAAAGTGTAACAGTACCTTTACATACATGTTCAAGAACTGTCTGGAGAGGAAAACAAGGGGATCAGAAGTCAAACACTGAAAGCAAAGAGAAAGAAGTATGACTGTATATACAAACTAGACTGTTGCTGTCTTCTTCATCTAAGGCCATCTTGAGGCAACCCATGACCTGCTTCTCCCTGTGTCCCACCAGTAAAAAAAAGAAAAGTCTTCTTCAGAAGACGCTAAAAAAATGATCTTGTAGGCAATTTCCATGTCTACACGTTCTTAACAAAATTAACTCTTCCTAAACAAAGGCTTGTATCAGTTGTTTTCTAAAGGCAGTCACAAAGCATGTAAGTAGTAAAGAAAGCATCCTACTCATGGATGCATTAAACTGTCACGTACAGCACGTACGTCCTGGGAACTCTTCTGTACGTACCATGCCAAGAAAGCTCCAGTGATCATAAGAGAAGCAGATACACCACTTACATGGTCTGTGGCTAGTAAAGTGGCTAGTAACGTAGCTAAAAACTACAATTGGCAAAGAACGGATTGTTGATTGCCACATCAGGGTGGACAGAATCTTTGCTCAGAAAGGGCAAGAGTTGCAACTGAACCAGTTGCACCACCATCGTCTGCTTCTGAGAGGCTCAACTGATCTTTCACAAGCACTGCACGTATACCAAAGGTGAGAGAGGCAGCCTTAAGCTACAACAGACAGGCATTTTCTGTGACCCCCAAGAACAGCAGCAGAGAGTAATCCCATCTGTGGTATTAAATAGGAAAGCTACTGTTATCTCTTGCTGTCCTGTTCCTGTATTTGCAACAGGACTACAAATCAGAGCACTGAGGTGAAACTGCCTGGGTCTTCTAGGCAGTACCATCTACAGATGACCAAAAGGCTTGGAATAAAAACCTCAAGAGAAGTTTGAACACAATTAAAGCATCATCCACTCTGTCCTTGCAGGCAGTTCTCTGTCTCCAGCCAACTCATTGCCAGTGCTGCAACAAATTCTGCTCATCCTCTCTGGTCCCGAAGGAAATTCCCTTTGTCACTGATATCTTTCACAGCCTCTATTCAACCTCCAAGCTCCCTGCTGTCTTTCCCTTGACCTAGGGCTTCTGGAACCATTTTGTGTGTGTGTTTTGTCAAGAACAAAACATATACTGTTCACAAAGTTCATGAAGCACTTTCCCCCCAACTTTACAAGGAAGTTTTACCTATTGCTTTAATCCAATCCCCTCCCCCCAAAAAAAAAACCCCAATACCCCCATAAGACAAGAGCTGCCATTATTGGTTCACCTAAATTTTAGGGTGGAATATACACACACAGATTATCTGTCTGTGCTCAGAAACATGCTGGAATTATGTTTAGACCTGTAAACTTTGCTCACAGGATTGAAATGGACAGGGAGGTCTAACACTTGATTGCTACAAGTTTTAGCCTGAAGCTAAAGCATTATATTTGCATTACATATGCCTCAAGAGTACATAAGTAGCAATGCATTTTATTTTACTTTTTGCTTTAAGCTAAGTGAATTGAATCCCAAAGCACTGAAACAGTACCCACTTAATACAAGAACATATTGCGCTTATCTGATGACATACTCCCATGGACTTTCTGTAAGTGAAAGTAGACAGAGGAACCCCTACTGTGTTCTCTTTGGTAAGTAAGAACAACTTGATTGGCAGAAAACATCCTCAAATTACTTTTTCATTTCTATTTAAGAGATTTTTATCTAGGCTTTTCCCATAGCAAGTCTTTGCTAAGTGCTGTTAAGCGCTCTGAATGACATTTATAAAGCAAGGCTGGCCAGGAGACAAGAACCCAATTTTGCGACAAAGTGAAGTGCTCAGACATTTGTCTTCCTTCTACATTAGAAAGGAAGAAATGCCTTTCAGAGCATAAATTAAAAAAAAAAAGCAGCAAAGCACTCATCTAGGAGAATCAACTTCAAGTCTGTTCCAAATCAAGTCAACTTTAACGTTAGCATCCCATATGGATGGCAAATGCTCTAGATATTGAGCAACTAGCTACTCAGAATTCTCCGAAGGGCAAGAAATTCCCCACTGAAGCTAACAAAGCTTCACTGAAATATACCACAAGTATTCCCTTTGAGAAACTCTTCCAAGAAGCAAATGTTGTTTAGTAAGAGTCAAGAGATAAGGCACACACAAAAACCTTGCTAAACTCAATCCATCTCCCTTCATCATATTCAAAGACCAGGACAACATCCAGTTCTGAAGGTCATCAAATTTGAGCTTTGGAAAACATGAGTCCATTCTGAAGCTAAAAGTGAGTCAAAAAGAAATCACTGTCCAGCTTGCACTATAGGATAATCATGATCTGAGCGCATCAGGAAACTGCAGTTACGTCAAGACTGTAGTCACAGTCTACAGCTGCCAAGTGTGACATTCTGAGGTTCATAGCTATGGCAATACATCCAAAAACAACCTCTCCCTAAGATTTGTGAGATTTTACAATCTTGGTATCTATCTACTGCACAGGTATAGTAACAATACTAGGAAAAAAAACCACTGCACTTTCCCGCCATGACTGCAAAACCTAAATTCCTAGTCCACAGAAGGAACAGAATACATCCTTTCTTCCTCCTCCTCAGTCTTCAATCATCTTTTACATACATTTATCACTGTAACAGCTGCAGACTTCACTCGTCCTATTAAAACACCTGTTCTAATACCTTTTATATTTTACCAAGCTAATCCAATTCTCACTGTAGTAAAATAACACATCAAAGAAAACAGACAGAATAACAAACAATCTGGAAAAAGCCTACATAATTAGGAATGCAAGGAAAAGTAGCAAACTTAGAGCAGCACCCATTGGTTAGCAAGGAATGAAGTGGCTTTCAGGGGGCTGCCAATATTTGCAATTCATGGGGTTTTCTAGAATCTTAAAATATTCAGGTGTATCTGAATTCCCAAGAGACAGCGGCACGTGGACTAGGCAAGTTTACCACAACTTTGTAAGAACCCCTTCAAAGAACCACAGAATGGTTGAGGTTGGAAGGGAACTCTGGAAGTCATCTTGTCCAACCCCCCTGCTCAAGCAGTGCCACCTACAGCCACGGTGCGCAGGACCACGTTGTCCAATGTCCAAACCCCCCTGCTCAAGCAGGGCCACGTACAGCCACGGTGCGCAGGACCATGTCCAGACAGCTTTTGAGCATCTATAGACCCTTGCAGACTTGTATCCAAGCATAGACAGCGTTTCTTACATTTCTCAGTTCTTTTTCTGTAAATACTGTTATTTAAATTTTGATCATGATGGAAAAGCTGAACTGATGGAAGCAATTAAGGACACATGGGCTCTCCTCTAAAATATAAACAGTTTCCAATATTCTGAAATAACAGAACTTAAAGCAACTGCTTGCTATCTTTGATTTCAGGCAATTGCAATAGATCCTTCTTTTTGAATATAGAAGGCAGACACAGGACCCACTTTTCTGTAGAAATTTCCAGCCACAACTGACTTTCTCCCTTCCATCATATGACTGCAGTTCAACTTATCATCCAGGTGGAAGGACTCTACAAGTCAAAAGCTTGTGTCTGCATCAAGAATAGCAATCTCATCCTCTTCACTGAATGCAAGTTTTGCTCCTATACATGCCAGCTTTTTTTTTTTTTTTTAAGCAGTGTATTCACATCCTTACCTATATGCTTTAAGTGATTCCCCCCATCAAAAACCAAGATTACTAAAAATGAAAAGAAGCAGCTTCCGTATAGAAAAAGTTATATTTACAGTTTTATTTAGCAGAGTTAAAGAGCAAACAATTTTAACACTGTTGTTGAAAAGTGTTTTTACCAAAGTTGCCAAGATCTAATAAGTTATTGAACAGAAATATCGGGCATAAAGTAATAATCCTGACCAGCCCATTAGAGTTCACCCCATCCCCAAAGAGCAGAGCTGATAAAGGCGGTAGAAAATTTAGACTGTGATTGACTCAATTTCCAAAAATTAGACAGAGATGATGAAAATAGGAGTTCCACTCTTGAATATATCTTTTAACATCTGCAGATGAAGGAATTTCTAAAGCACGCAAAATGCAAAGACAATTCCTGTTTCCAAGGGAACATTCAGTGCTTTGAATCCAAGAATGCTATGTCCATACACAGTGGTCAGTACATGACTATGGCAACACATAGATGGTAAAAGATTAAAAATAGGATTAGAATTTTTTCCATTCCATGTCATCAGGAGGATTTACTTCTACCTTCCTTTTACCAACATCAGACCAGTTGGTGCTCAGAACTGTGCCTCCAGACTCCATCTGCAATGTGAAAGAAAGCTTGTTTAGTTTGCTAGAGGAATTCTAGTAATACAAAAGCCACATTTC